TTTATTTTCAATAACTGCTTAACTGCAATTTTTCATTTCATTTCACTGATTATAAAGAGCAAACCACAGTAATATTAGAAGTACCTGTCTGCCAGGCAGTGGTGATGCATGCCTGTAATCCCAGCACTTGGGAAGCTGAGGCAGGAGGTTTGTTGCAAGTTCAAGAACAGCCTGGGCTACAAAGTGAGCTCAAGGCTAGCCTGAACTGCATAGTGAGACCCTGTCTCAAAAAGACACACACACAAAAAAGTACCTATCACTTCTTTGTCACAATACTGATCACAAATATTCCCACATTATACTTGCTGTGGATGTCTGAACTGTGACTTATGTGCATCACTAGTCTGATTTTACATCTATTAGACTTGCTGTTAAATCTCATTATCAGCTGGGTGTGGTGGCGCACGCCTGTAATCTCAACACTTGGAGGCTGAGACAGGAGTATCCTTGCGAGTTCAAAACCAGCCTGGACTACAAAGTAAGCTCAAGGCCAGCCTGAATTGCATAGTGAGACCCTGTCTCAAAAAGACAAAAAATTTAAAAAAAAAGTAGATCTCATTATTGTATGGGCTGAGGATATAGTTCAATGGTACAGCATTTGCCTAGCCTGAGTAAAGGACTGGATTCAATCCCTAGTACAATAAATAAATATGTAAATAAATAAATGGAATTAATCATTTAGTTTCTTTTCTATTCCTATAATTTATGATGAATTTAAAAAAATCATTCTAGGGCTAGGGATATAGCTCAGTCATAGAGCATTTACCTAGCATGAGCAGAGCCCTTGGTTCAATCCCCGGCACTACACACTCACTCACACACACACACACACACACACACACACACACACACACACACACCCCAAAACATTACTCCAGCTAGGGATCTGTAAACTTCACCCAACTCCCAAAAGTGTCCATGGTATAAAAAAGGCTAAATGCTGGGCATGGTGGCACATGCCTGTAATCTCAGCACTTGAAGGTTGAAGCAGGAGGATCATCATGAGTTTGAGGCCAGCCTGGGCTACATAGTGAGACCCTGTCTCAAAAAAAAAAAAAAAAAAGGCTAAAAGCCTTACTTAATAGAAATATCTGTTGCCCTCTTTCCAAAGGGATGGGAGGTCTCTGGTTCAGGTCTATCTCTTGGTGTCCCCAAAGGGAAGGCTCTAGGACATTTGCTCCCCACGCAGACAGCATCTACAGCATGCAAAGCAACAGCGAAGGGAGTGCCCTAGAGGCACAGAGTCAACCAGTTGCAGGTCCGCTACAGCCACTGGGCTGACAGCTGGACAGACATACCATCTCCTGAGAAAAGTAGCTGCAGGCTATCTTGTACTGAGTCTTGTCCTCTGATACCCATTATCCCAGCATAGCTATCTGGGCCAAGGATTTCACTGGTGGCCTGGAAAGAGGTGGGCAGGAGACCTTGCCAGGTAGGTACTTCCAGATTGATTAGCAACTAATTGACCCAACTGAACTCCCCTCCCTTGAGGGATTTGAATCTGAATAACTGGAGAGCCAGCAGGTTGACGAGCCAGCAGAGGTGACACAAAGGGAGAGAGGAAAGAGGAAATAAGAATGGAGATTTGTCAAGTCTGATTAGCCTTTCACCTCACTCTCCAAGAGGAGATCTGGCCTGATGCCCATGCTTTCCATCACCTGGAAGAGCTCACCTAACCCTATACAAGAGCTCACAAAGCTGTGGGGGGCCAGGAGTTCCCAGCTGCCCGAGGTCCACAGCAGACGTGAGACTTGCCGGACACTAACAGTGAGAAAGTTGGGGGCTTTTGTCTCAGTCTCCCTAGTAAGGCTTCCCCTTCCTGACCCACAAACAGGTTTCCATGGCTTGCGTCCAATGCTAGGACCCTGATAATTTCTGTGTCCTTGGCAGTGCCTTTCCAAGGAATTCCGATCTGCTTGACTACTCACAAGTAGCCAGAGCCAATGATGCCCTCGGTGGAGAAGAGGGTCACATGGCAGGTGGGCAGAAAGGAGAGGAACAGAGAGGTTGGTCACTCACTCCCCACCCACAGTAGCGGCTTGGGGAAGAGCCCTCTAACCTGGTTGCCTTGGAGCACATGATGGGGCTCCTCCCTTCCCTCTGGGACCTGTTGCACTCCCCTCCTCCCTGGAATTCTTCACAGAGTCTTTGCCCAGAAACAGATTCAGATTCAAGTACATCCATATCTCAATCTTAACTTTTTTTTGTTTTTGTTTTTTTTTCCTGTACCGGGAATCGAACTCACGACCTTGCACTTGCCAGGCAGGTGCTGTGCTGCTGAGCTTAATCCCCAGCCCCACTTTTTTTTTTTTTTGTACCAGGAATTTAACTTGGGACCTTTCGCTTGCCAGGCAGACAATTGTACTTCTGAGCTATATCCCTGGCTCAATCATAACATTTTAGATATGAGGAAGAGAGGCTCAGAGACAAGTTCAATGCCTGCAGTAAGAAATAAGGAGTCCGAGGTACTTAAGAGGGTTCCATAAAAAATCCCGTCCACCTGGCCATGTCCACGGTTTCCTTCCCCTCCCCTCACCAAACTGGTAACTTGCCGTCCCCAGAATATGCCCTCTCATCCTCAATTTTTTGTCCCTATGTCCCCCTTACTAGAATACCCCAGGATGTCCTGATGAATTATCGGAATCAACCTTTAAGGCTTAACGTGGGCTCTTCTGTTCGCCCTCAGTGAGCAGGTGTCCTGATCGCCTTTGCATTGCCACTCCTTCACATAGGGCCTGGAAGGTTAAGGAACCAATAAATATGTACCCTTGATTCAATTTTTCTCCATTTCATTAAATTATCAGAGTCCACAAAGCTTCAGGACGAGCGTTCCTTGCCTAGATCTTGGTTGAAAAATACGTGCCACCTGTAGTCACAGGTGACCTCCTGGTCTCCAGCCATATTCATTACTGGGTCTGTTCAGTCACTCAACAATATATAACTGGCCTATTGTGCTTTAAACACTTTGCCAGGTGCTGGGGATCAAAGATGAATGGAGAAATTAACCAGGAGGATAAAGTTGAACACACACTCAAAGAACACTAAAAATCCACAAAAGAGAAACAGGAGGGTTTAATTCGCGCTTCCGTCCAGGTGTGCTGGGGGAGGTCCCCCTCCACCTGCACAAAAGGAAGATATTAAAGATTTGAGGGAGATTAGCTCTATAATCCTCAGGTAAGGGCGTCACTTTAAGGAGAATGTGACACCCACACCTAGACCTGTTGTTTTCCTAATTCCCAGAGTGGGATCCTGGAATTAGTGGTCTGGCTGGCTGCCCACTCGCCATCAGGAGGCCCCAGGAAACCCCTGAAACTCCTCTCTCTTAACTCAGGACTTTCTCTCTGCCTTGGGTTATCAGCTGTCCTTAAAGCAGTCTCAAACGACCTTCGAAGACGCGAGCCCTTTAAAAAGGGGAGACTGACGGGTGCGGGCTGGCGAGGGCGGAGGGCGTCACAAATCCTACACAGAAACCTGAGCTGTAAACCGGACCCGGCGCTCCCACCCGGCGGCCGCCACGGAGCCGGGCCGTGGGGACCAGAGCGGCTGGGCTCCGCCCCCAAAGCTTGAGCTCCGATTGGTGGGCGCGATAGCAGGGCGGGGCCAAGTCTTAAAGGTCCAGGAACTAAGCATACCGGGAGGAGGCGGTGGCCGCTGCGAAAAACCTAGCGAGGTGATGCCCGGTAGTCACATGGGTTTCTTTTAAACCTTTGTGACGCCCATCCCCTAGTGGCCCATGGAGCCCACAAGAGCCTATCCACTTTTCGGGGGTGCGTTCTCCGCTATCATCCCCTGTGGGGCCATTGATGTAAGGTGAGAAAGCCCAGGCGCCAGTGGAGGCCGACTGGGTGGGTTGCGGGAAGAAGCCTGAAAATCAACCAGGTCTGCCGCAACTCTTCCCAGCGACCTCCGACCGGTCCCGGACAACCAAGAAGTTTTCTGCCATCCCAGGACCGACCAGAGCCTGATCGTGGAACTTCTGGAGCTGCAGGCCCACGTGCAGGGGGAAGCGGCTGCGCGGTGAGGAAGGGGCCCGGGGCTGGCCAATGGGAGGGTCCGAGCCGAGGAGGTAGGCGGGGCCTGTGGCTGGACGGTTATCCGGAAGAGAACGCCAGGGGCAATAAATACTGTGCAGTTGGAAGTGCGCAAAAGTGGTGGTGGTAGTGGGGAGGTAGGCTTTGAGAGATTACCCTGTCATTCTGCTGTCCCAATCCAGGTATCATTTTGAGGACGTTGGCCGGGTGCAAGGGTCAAGGGTCCTGCAAGTGGAGTCTGTGCAGCCCTTGAATCTAGAGAGCCTGGCCTTGAGGGGCTACTGTCAAGAAGCCTGGGTCCTCTCTGGCAAGCAGCAGATAGCTAAGGAAAACCAGCAGGTGAGGACCAGGGAGAGTGAGACGTCCTGGAGCGTGGAGGGGGCAGGCTAGGGATCCAGGTAAGCATCCTGACGCTGATCTCCTAGGTAGCAAAGGACGTGACACTGCATCAAGCCTTGCTGCGCGTGCCTCAGTACCAGACCGATCTGTTGGTCACCTTCAATCATCCCCCGTAAGGAGGAAAGAAAGGGCGGGTACCTCAGGACAGTCTAGGCTGGATGGGCAGGGCAGGGAGATGGGCAAGTGGGGTCCTCCAAGGAGGCAGAAGTGGGCCAGATGCTTGAGGTCACAGGTACCTGTGTCCTGTGGGGAACAGGAAGTGGGAACTTCCAAACCTCAAGCTTGGATGCTGTTCTTTCTGCCTTTGTTTCCTCACCCCCAAGCCCTGACAACAGGTCATCTCTTGGCCCTGAAAATGTGTCACCTCCTTCCTGGAACCTGGGTGACTTTGAACAGCTGGTGACCAGCCTGACCCTTCATGATCCTAACATCTTTGGTCCCCAGTAAAGATGCTGAAGCACTGCACGATGCTGCTAAGGACTTAGGGATGCACTTCTGGGAGGGGAAGAAAAAGAGGTTGAATACCTGGGTTTCCTCTTCTTCCCCATGCAAAAACACAAGACATCTCTCTGCAGAAATAAACTTACTTTATAACCAATATAATGTTTAGGCTTTTGAATAATAGGACACCTGGGTTCCCCCATTCCCTTTGGCCTTGGAGGGGGAAGTTTAAAGCTGCTCATGGGAGCATTAGGGACCCAAGGCTGGCCACAAAGAGGGTGAAAATACACTTTGGATTGAGTGGTTCAGCCCTGAGAGAGGAGTGTGAAATGTACTGGGTGGTGGGAATGACAGAGCAACATCTAAGGAAGGGAAGGAAACTACTGCTTGTCGTGATTCAACCCTGAGAGAACACACGGGGGGTGGGGATGGCTGTCCCCTTCACATGATAAGTAACATGGTCAATATTCACCAGGATATAGTAGTGGAGGCAGAAGGGTCAATCGGGTGGAGTGTGGGTAAGTGGCTGTTATTTAGTGTACTTGTGGTAGAGGAAGCGCAGCTGGTCCCAGAAGAAGAGGGAGAGGATGGTGTGGGGGCCGAGGCGGAAGTAGGAGGCACCTATACCCTTGTACATGCCAAAAATGCCCTCTGTCCGAGCTGTCTGCAGCAGAGCATCCAGGATCCCCCGGTACATGAGGCCCTGGATCATGTTGGAGAGGAAGGGAGAGCATGGAAAAGGATCTTGTCAGGGCCCTTACCCTCGCAGGCTGCAGATCAGGATGTCCCACCTGTACCCACAGTCTGCTCCCCACCCCTGGCTTGCCCTGTCTGCCTGCACCCCGGAGCACTGCCTTACCTTGCCCTGAACATCTGTGGGCTGGTTATAGAGCCTTGTGCTGGCTACATCGAAGGGTGTCATGGCCAGAACTACTGCGATGCCACTCACCATGGCAGCTGCCAGAGCTACCTTCCAGCTCTGGGGAGGAAAGATCTACAGGATAAAAGAGGAAGAACTTTGTCAGTCAGCCAGTCAATCATTTAACCCCTAGGACAGGACAGGCTGTGCCCTGGGGATGCTAAGTCTCACAGCTTTTATTCCAGCAGTTATAACACAGGGTGGCAACTCTGTGAAGGAGGAAGCCAGTATGCCCTGAGGTGTCCCTTATGGGAGAAAGTGACAAGAGAACTGTGGGAGGAGTCCCCAGGCCCTCCTGTTGCTCCCTCACCTCTGGACGTGGGCACTGTCCCCTCAAGGGCCCACCTCCATTTGCCCACCCCTCCCTCCTTCCCAGGCATAACCCACCCGCTTCCCGGGCAGTACCTCCCACTGGCTCAAGAGGTCCTTGGTGGAGGAGAAGGTGCAGAGCTGGGTGGAAGAACCGACGGCCACTCGGGGCAGGCCTCCCAGGGCCCCACGCCACAACCCCACCAGTCCATGTTTCTGGCCAATTTCAGTTAGCGCCTGAAACATGCCCTGGTATGGGGAAGACCATGGGGGGGGGTGGTTTAGTCACCCCAACATTGGGGCTGCTGCCTCCAATGTCAAAGACTGGTCCTTAGCACACTTCTTATCCAGATAACCAGTCCAGTGCGGGCTTAGAACCAGAATGTGGGCCCCTCAGGTGTCTACAACCCCTTGCTACCCTAGAATAGGGAATCGAGGACATTGTTGGGGCAGGACAAATGGAGCGGGAGAAACAGCTGCAGAAGACTTGAGGAACAAGTACACACGCAGGTCTGGGGGGCTGCAGGGGCAGAGTTTGGCTGCACTGATGGGCTGGGGAGAGCAGTGGCCAGGGTTAGAGCTGCGGGGTGCAGGCAGAAGGCTGGGAGGAAGTGGAAGGGGATGATTGCACACTCCAGCAAGTCTGGGGACCTCTCACCTGATGCTTATACTGGTGCCCTACGGCAATTTCAGATGCAGCTTGTGCCTGTAGATGGGTCTTCACCTGGGAAAAAGAGTTTCACAGCCTGTGCCCACTGGCCATCTTCCCACCTTAGAGACCCCTCGACTTCCTTTAGGGGGTTAGGCAATGAATAGGATGATTTTAATATGATAATTGTTATTGTTCCCACTTAATAAATTGGTCATAAGACTCTGTCCCTTGGCTCCAGTCCCAGGGAACAGATCTCCTAGCACTGCAAGACACCCTCCACACACATCCTCTTTCCCTTGGGCGCTGGGGGTGGGGTGGAGAGGTTGGAGAATGGCAGTATTTCCTAAGACAGTATTTCATGTTAGGCAAGGCTTGGGTGCCACGTATCATGTCAGCTCCCATTCCCAGGTCAGAGCTGCTACCACTGGCCAGAATGTGCCCTTTGGCCCCCAGGACTCACAGGGGTACGTACTCGGCTGACTTTGGAGTGCCTTTTTCTTTTTTTGAGATGGCTCAAGTGATCCTCCCATCTCAGCTGCTGTAGCTGGGACTATAGGCGTGTGTCACCATCATACCTGGCTTAAACTGACTCTGAAAAGGCCCTGAAGCTCACAACTTGGGAGCAAGACCGTGTTGCCTCTCCTACAGAACGCTTTGCCTTCTGCTCTCTTAGCTGAACTAAGCGGGGCCTAGTTCCAGCAGTAAACAGCTGTGTGACCTTCAGCTGTTTACCTCACCTCTCTGGGCTTTTGGGCTTTTAGTTATATCTGATCATTCCAGCAATAAGCAGCCTGTGCAGCTGTAATTATGTGATCCCCAGGGCCTTCCTGATCTCCACACTTGCTGATGAATGTAACTCAAACTCCTCATCCTCACGTAATCAAATTCAGCCTCAAAATCAGGTAATAACTTCCAGACAGGGCCAGGGAGGTAGCTCAGTGGCATTAAGTGCCTGCCTGGCAACTGCAAGGTCCTGAGTTTGATTCCTGATACCAAAAAAGCGCCCAAACAAATAACTCCAAGACAATAGCAGCAATACTATCAAATGCCTACTATTCATTAGGACTTATACGAGTGCTTTACGTGTGTTATCTCCCTCTGTCCTCTCAGTAACCACACAGAATGGGTATTTGCTTATCCCCATTCTACAGATGTGGCAACTGAAGCTTAACAATGAATTAATTTTTTTTTTGAGACAGGGTCTCACTATGTAGTTCAGGCTGGCCTTTGAACTCACTATGTAGCCCAGACTGGCCTTGAACTCACAGTTCTCCTCCTGCCTCAGCCTCCTGAATGCTGGGATTACAGGTGTGTGCCACCATGCCTGGCCAAATGAGTTAATTTTCAAAGACAGAATTTGAGTTCCAGAAAGGTTGATTCCAAAGGCCATAATCTTCATCAACACAACTGATTGAGTCTGTTGGATGTATATAGGGGAGGTCAGAAGACCCTAAATCCTGCCAACACTTTCCTAAAGTCCTTCCCTGCTTGCAAGGGGACAGCACCCAGCTGCCTATGCCCTTGCGAAGGACCAGGCTCCCACGCTACATGAAGGCTGTGCTCCAAAGGCCCCAGGCAAGACCCCTCTTCTTACCATGTAGATGGGGCTTCCCAAATAGGCTCCCATAACCCCAGCCAGGCCCCCAGCTGCAGCACTCCGGACAGGACTGAGGGTGCCTTCTGCCGTGTGCAGGTAGCCGCTAGAATCGGCCAGCCCATAGGTGCCCAGTCGGATGCCATTCATCAGGAACTGGTACAAGAGCGCAGGGGCCAGGCCCTTCTGCAGGGCAGCCAGGCCGTCCACCTTGCCAATGGTGAAGAAGGCATGGAAGACGTTTCGGTAGTGCCGCTGGTAGGTGCCTGGGGCCTGCAGTTCTCCCTGCAACTGCATCCTGGTCTTCACAACCTCTAGGGGATTGGTGAACACACAGGCCCCGCAGGCTGCCAGACCACTCATCAAAAAGTCCATGGTGAGATAGCAGTAGCCTCAGAATGGGGGGTCGGAAATCAGGGGAAGACCTCAGCTTCTGACGTCCAGGCTGCAAGAAGTAGGAATTTAGAGCTCTAGAATCAAGCGTCAGGGTCAAATGTCAAGAAGTCAAGGGTGAGCTGGGATTTGGGAGTCAGGAGCCGGCAAAGAGGGGAGAATGATGAGCGCAGAGCCGTCTGGCAAGAAGGTTATGACAGGGCTGTTGGCCAAGGGTTTTGAGGCCAAGGAGGAGCAGAAGGCAGGAGCTGACAGGTGGGATGCTGGGACTGGCAGGCTAAGGGGTGGGGTGGCGGGGAACAGAGAGGGGAAATGAGCTGGGAGATAGAAGCCAGAGAGGCAGGAAAAGAAAACCAGCAGGAGGTAAAGGATCCGGGAGAAGATCGGTGGTGTCCCCGGGACAGCAACGGACAACTGGATCGGGAAGGCAGTCGGACTCCAGCCTGTGATGAGCGTGCCGAGGTAGCTACGCGATTCCGGAGCACCTTCACCCGGTAGCCTGGGAAGGCCGGGCCGCCACACTCCAGTCCCTGGAGCGCGGCGCCAATGGGGACCCTGGCAGAACCGTAGCCAAGAGCCTCCGCCAATCAGCGTCGAGCCGGCTCCGCGTCCAATGGGCGGCATCCTGGGCGACCCGGCCCCCGGAATCCGCCGAAGCTGTTACGGTGAAATTAACTCTCCCTGCACTGGCGCGGGGCGGAGGCGGGCCCGGGCTCCGGAAGGGTCCCCGGGGCGCGGAGGTTCTGTCGCTGGCTGGGAGGAGAGGCTGGACCCTGGGTCTGTGGGTGGATGCAGAGGCTGAGATTGGAGATGGCAGTTGAGGGCATTTGGCTCCCTTCTTTTGCCCTCTGTCCCGGGTCATCTTGGCCTGGGGTTGCCTGACTTCCGCGCGCTGCCTAGTCGGGGCGCCGTGGGTGGGGGCGGAAGCTACGGCCCGCCGGGAGAGAAGGACAAACCTGCCGGACCGGCCCTTTCTCCCGAGACGGAACGAAACGGAACGAAACGGAATGAAATGAGCGTTTGTAGGTTCCAGCGCCGGGTGTGACCGGCTGAGGGCGCCAGGAACGGAAGTCTGAAGGGCTGCGAGGGAGCGCGATCCAGTTCTTAAACTCTTTTGATCCTCCCAGCCGAGGAGGGGAGAGGGCAGGGCAGGGATTTGGATCCCCTCTATAGTCGGGCGTGGGTTACAGAGAGCCCGCGGGTGGTGAGAGAGCCTGATCATCTGGACTCTTGTTCTTTCTCCCGCATTTTGGTTAATCACGGAAGAACTTCCGAGAAGAGACTGGGGAACTAGCTGTGAAGGAGTTGAGAGAAAAGGCTTAAAAGGGGGTGGGGTGGGGTGCGGATAGGATATGGTACCTCAGGCGAGAAGAACAGGCAGAGGGGTCCCCTGTCAGCTGCCTGTCTATGTTCCTCTTTGGATCTCCCTGCTTACCGTCTGCATGAGCCCCTTTGTAAAATGAAAATGATAATGTCTGTTACATACTCCAGAGGAACTGTCGGACTTAGGTGGTCAATAATCAGCTTTTGAAAAGTAGGAACTCTGTGCCACTTCCTGAAATGCCCCTTTCCCACCTTCTGGTGATCTCCAAGTCACCCTTCACCTTTCCAACCACCTCCTGAGTCGGGAAGCAACTCACATCCTGTTACCGGGTTTTGAGGGTGCTGGAGTCTCCTTCTGGAGGTAGTTTCTAGGTTCTTCCTGTCATGAGCAAAGAATTGGTCAAGACAAGCACAGACAGAAGCAGAGTTGTATTAAAGGTAGAGTGCAGTTGATGGGCCAATCATAGTCCAGGGTCTCATGTACCACAAGGGAAGAGTTGCCAAGCATACACCCAGCAGTAAGCAGCTGCGTTTATTGAAGATGACCGGGAAGCTAGCAGCAGAAACAGGAAAAAGGGAAAGGGTGGGGGAAAGAGGGTCAATAACTCAGGCTTTTAGCATTTAAAAGCCAGGGCTTTAGGTGCCTCCCACTGCAGCTCACCGTCGCCTAAAGCTTACAATCCCCTAGACTTATGTTATTTTTAAAAATCTTTCTTAGGATAATGGAAGTGTGAATAACCATAGGGTGCTGTTTACAGTTAAATGGAGGGAAGGGTGTGACTCATTCAACTCCTTTGTTTCTAACTGTACTAGTGGGTTGCGGGGGAGGACCCAGGCTCTGCAGAGCAAGTTTGGGCCAAGAAAAAGTAGGAAAAGAAGTACACCCTACAATATGAGGATGAGGTCAGCCACGCTGGAAGAGCAAACCTAGTGGCAAAATCTCCATGTGGACTGTCCTTTTTTCTTTTTTTTCCTCGTCGTTTTGAGACAGGGTCTCGCTTTGCAGTTCAGGCTGGCCTTGAGCTCACTTTGTAGCCCAGGCTGGTCTCGAACTTGCAACCATCCTCCTGCCCTAGCCTCCCAAGTGCTGGGATTATAGGCCTGCGTCACCACATCCGGTTGCACTGTCCTTTTTGTATCACCCACTCCTTAGGCTGATCTCAGGTCTAGGCCTCCTATTGAAAACTTGCTAGAGTTCTTGTGAGAAGTCCGTGTGCAGGGCTTCATGTGCTCTGGGGTATTGTCATGCCTCCTTTCCCAGACAGTTTTAGTTATGTCCTACCATCCTGTCTCAATCCTGTTCGTACCTTTACCCACTTTTTTATTTTGTCTACCAATTGTTTATTTTCCAGATTCTCCCTGGGAGTTATCGGCTCCCGTGGGGTCCGGTCTGAGTCCTCCATACACCAGTGCCATAAAATGATGAAACAGGAGGGGGGCTTTCAGGGGGTTGGAAGGTTAAATAGAGCAGGTAATGGGGCTCCTCACATCCTGGGAGGGTGCTCTCCAGAAAATTTCCAAGGATGCAACCCAAATGACCCACCTAACAGAGAAAAAGATGACTTTTTTTTCCCCTTCAGAATTTGGCACTAGAGATTGAACCCAGGGAGCGGTAGGCTACATCCCAAGGCCCCTGTACTGAGGTCGGATATAAGAAATCAAATTTTTAAAAAGAGGCAGACAGTATTACATAGGCAGCTAAGTTAGCTAGAAATTAATAGGCATTCAGACAGGGACAGGCCCTCAGAGAGTCAGGGCAAAATATAAGAACACATCAAAACTATGGGTGGAGGTTGGGAGCAGCAGATTCCACCAGGATTGTGTAAAGGCAACATGGCATGGAATTTATTGTGCTGGGTGCAGGCAGGCAGAGAGTGGTAAGACCATTTGCCCCAACGTAGGGAAGTGTGTCCCTTTTATAGGGATGGAAGGAAGGCAGGGGACATTAGGCAGGAAGATTTTAATAAACATCTGTGGCTGGCAAGCGAGACATCGTGAGTTTGATTTCTGGTACAAAAAAAATCTGTGGTTCTATCGCTGTCTTTCAACTCAGTTGACAGGGTCATTGAAGGTTTGATGTAAATTTTCAGGTATCTACAGATGTCCCCAGGGGGCTGGGGATTTAGTTCAGCGGCACAGCACCTGCGTGGCAAGCACAAGGTCGTGAGTTCCATTCCCTGTACCAGAAAAAAAACAAAAAACAAAAAACAAAACAAAACAGATGTCCCCAGGTACCTCCAGATGTCCCGGTATAGAGAGCCCTTCCTGGTCCTCATCATGGTCCAAGAAGTTATATTTGTAGTCCCTTGGAAAAGTTATTGGAATTCTAGCGCGTTAATGCCAATCTACCACTTCCAGTGAAACCAATGGCAAGAATAAAAACACTAAGGCATATTTTTAGTTGTGGGGAGCCAAGGGGTCCTAAGTCCAGCCACAGTGATGGTTATCCAGAACAAAGGCCTCGACCCAGAGCTGAACCTGGGTTTTATTAATTCGTGAAGAGAGAAGTGGCTTGAGGATGAGTGACTGAGAATGACCTAAAGTAGGTGAGTGCCGTGAGCTGGGCTAGGTAGGAGGCCTGAAATCACCTCTGCCATATGCAGAGAGAAGGATATGCAGGAAGAGTAATCTGCATGACACAATTGAGGTAGTGTCTAATGTTTGAGGGTCAGTGCCTCAGCTCTGATGTGTAATCTCTTATGCCCTGGGGAGTCGTAGTGTCTTATCTCGAGGCTCGATTCCAGCAGACAGTGTGGAGCATGGCAGCGCTCCATCTCGCCCCAGCTCACACATGTTTATTTGGGAGTGAGGGGGGCAGGGAAACACTGTCCTGTCGCCCTGCTTCAAAGAAAGACTACACATCAGCACCTCAGCTGGACCGATTTGTGTTGCTCAAAACCAGTTGAAGGGATAAGGAAAAGTCCCAGCCAACTCTGCACACATCAGTACATGGAAATAGGGCCAGCAGCCAAAATGAAGACAACTGCTGCTCCTTCACGGAGAGTTGCACAGGTGGTCTTTCACATCTGGGACCTGCAAAATTCCTTGTCCTGTCTTATCTCCTCCACAGCATCCTGTGCTTGCCCATGACAGCTTTGGCACTGAGCTGAGTTCCCTGCAGAGAATAGTACCTCTGCTGGCAAGCAGGCTGGGCCTGGGAGAGTCAGGTTCTGCTGGAGCCTTACAGAAGGCACATGGATTAAAGTCCAGGTTTTAAGATAAAAATGCAATGGCCAGGCCTACATGCCTCCCTGAAGGATAACCGATAACTTCAGATTGTATCACCTGGTCCAGTTAAGTCCGGATAGACCTCAGTCACCCAGGTGGGTGACCAGAGCATCTGGACCCATCCCTTCCCCAAACTGCCTTTGTTCCTTCCATGCTAAATTTCCTTGCTAAATGACCCGCTTTGCCACTAGACAAATATTAGCTAACAGCTACATTTGTAATCCTATCAGTTGATTGTAGTTTGATCCACATTACACCCATATTGTGACTGCTGTATAAATTATTACAACAAAGGACCTCAGTGGCAACCCACTTTTGGGACCCCTCTGTCTCCCAGGAGCTCTCTCTCAGTAAATCTTTCTTACTCTTAACCTCCATTGTCCCTTGGAATTTATTCTTCAATTTCAGGGGACATGAATTTGGCATATCTGATATTAGCAGGTTGGGAGTTATAGCTTTCCTATATCAAAAAGAGAAAGGAAAACCATAATCTTTATTTTATTTTTGTTTTTCTGAGTCAGCGTCTTATTATGTAGTTCATGCTGACCTTCAACTCACTTTGTAGCCCAGGCTGGCCTTGAACTTACTACAATCTTCCTGCCTCAGCCTTCCCAGTGCTGGAAATACAGGCATTCACCACCATTACAACTGGTGGAAAAATCATAATTTTCAAAATGAAAATTAAAAAACAAAAAACCCCTGCAGTTCCAGGACACAAGCCCGGTGTAATTTTTTTTCTCTTTCCAAAAAACAATAAGCTTGGGTAATTCTCTTTTACCTGCAAATGGATTCAGCTATTTCCTTTTTACTCCCAAACTGTTCTCTTTCACCTGTGAATAGGCCACATTTTTGCCTGTAAATTAGGATATCCCCTATGAAGAGACATTATCTTACTGTAGGTAGGCCAACCTCTTCTACCCACCAAACTGTACAGATTTCCTCCACCAAAACGCATAAATATTCCCAGTTCCAAACTGAAGTGCACCTCATTTCTCTGAGCACA